CGTTCTCACCGAGAAACCTGGTGTCAGTAAGTTGTTTTTATATACATTTAATATAATGACACACTGTTGTCTATAAAATAGATAAAATTTTAGCTATGCAATGTACGTTTGTCAATTTTATAGACAACAGTATATGATACAATATCATAAAGTACATAAGTAAGTCTATTTAACATTACTTAAAAACTCAAAACATTTTGAGGCAAATGTGTAATGATTTACGTATGCAGGTTACGCAATGCTAAATGGTGAAGTACAAGCTTCCATTATTTGTTAGATACATTAGCCTTGTAGCTCCAGTGTAAATCTAAAGAAGCATTAAAAGAACTTCTCTTAAATTTGTCTATGATGAGATGGGAAGCTTGTGTGCTTTTACTGTTTGAATTTTATTTAAAAAATATTTAATTGGTATTTTTTTATTTTTACTAAATGATATTTTGACGAAAATGAAGAAATGTTCAGTCACTGTTTTAACTAAGAACAAATGATTGGATACCCATCTATGCAGGCTAGTGTGCAAGCATACCGACCCGGGATGTGTGGGTGAAGCTAAACCATTGGCTGGTCAAAAGAAATCATCACAGACTTGGTAGACAGCAACAGTTAAAAAAATACTAGCTAGCCGAAATGTGACTCTTCACGTAAAGCCAAATTCTCAGTAACATATTCAAAACACTTTATCTTTAAATAGACATGGAATCAGAGCTTGAAGCTCTAGAGTTGTTTCTACTGTTGCTTGTGTTTACTGTTAACTGTTAACATATTTCTGCTACTTACTGCTTGCTGTTTTTGGACGCTAGAGTTGCGTCACATGCCAAATCATATCACCTTCACAGAGCTTCTAGAGAACTCTGCCTACTTTCACGGGCACTGTTGTGTGATGGGAAATGAACACATGTATTTAAACAGAGTACAGATAGTTTTGGAATCAGATTTGTAACTGTAAAGTGCGGGTAAAATTATTAGACAGTTTAGACTAAATAATATGCTATGTTTATCTTAAATACTTGTGCTAGACCACTGCAAGCAAATCCCGCAGCTATCCACAGGAGTCCAAAAGAGCATAACTGGCCTCTATCTGTCTGGGTGGGTAGGGTGGCCTATCCCACCACCAAGTGCGATCCTAGCAAATGCAGGCATCTGTTAGTTAACATAGCAGAGTTGGAAGCTAGCCTTCTCCTCCAGGTATGCTGAGATGTCCAATGATGTTTCGTTAGCCGCAGTTTGAAAAGCTGCAGTCTCAAAGGAAGCACGTGCTAGCCCTTTCTTTAAGTGGCTAAAAAAGTGCCAAGTGAAATAAAACTAATAGATTATAGGTTATTAAAGAAAAATGAGCACAAGGTTGTGTCTACTGTAAAGACATCTAGAGCCTTCAACAGGCTACAGCCTTTAACTGTACAAAGAGGAGCCACAAGGCAGCAGTTTCTATTACAGTGACCAGGGATTGTATATGTGTTGCCTTTTATACTCATCCAGCTGCATGATGATACCAGTGTTGAAGAAACACTTCACCTTGGATAGACTATGATGTTCGGGCTAAGAGAGCACGGGGTCAGAAGAGGTTGGGTTTACTGAGGAAACTGTCATCCTTTAAGTGTCTCTGTTTGACTCGCTTGTGCCTGATGCTTCAGCTGCTGAATAACAATAAGGAAATGTTCCATTCTGAGCAGGAAATGATGGGCTGTTTGTCTCTCTTTGGTGTGATGGTGCTCAAAATTTGTCTCGCTCATCCGCTCCCGCTCTCCCTCTCTCACTAGGGAGCGGCTGAGCCCATTTCTTGCAATTTCCAGCCTGCGAGAGTGGAACGTATTGGTGATTAAATAGCCACTGTTGATCACAGTCATACATCCACCCATTTAGAGGGGGAGAATGTAATGGGTGATCTCATGGTTTTAAGCACAGTGCAAAAAAGTGTTTTACCTAACGGTATTTTTTACGGCTAAAGCAAGTAGTTTGTTGTCTCACAGGACAGGCTCCTAGGTAGTATCACCAAACAAACTGGTAGGTTTGGTCACTCAACCACCTACAGATAGGGGCTTGTGACTGGCATGCAAACCAACCAATCACAGGCAAACATGAAATGCTGCTAGAACAAAACCTGCATGAAACAGTTTATGACTAAAAAACCACCAGGCAACACTGACACGAGTGTCAGAGTAGTTTTAAACCTGTAGATGTGATGCTGTGACCTTCACAACCTTTTTTCAGTCCAACACTTACAGCTTGCTCTGAAGGACGTCAGACTCTGAAGGACGTCAGACTTGTCGCAGTGTGGAGCAGGCCCTGCATGCCGCTATTAATGCCGCTAATAACTAGTAACACTTTATAAAAAAGTGCAGTGTTGTGCAGTGTATGCCATTGTAAGTTGAGGGTGCTGTAATGTTCAAGCAGCATGTATGTGACGTATATCATGACGTGTTGTAAAATGCTATGCTAACTATTTATTTCCATTTGTTTTGTTTGGACAATTTACATTAAACAGAATATGTCTTGAGAAGATCAGCAATAGCGAATAGACGACATTGACAATGCAGTTGTTATGACATGGAGACGACAACAATACAGCTCTGCCAAGTCTTGGAAACAGCAAAATGACTCTGCTCACTCTGTTCTCTCTTCTGGATAAACTTTCTGCAAATGAGAAGCAAGTTTCTCCAAATGCAGGCCAAAAGATGGTGTAATGTTGGATGTTAAGCATTTCGTCATCTGTCACACCCATAATCAACTACACACTGAAATCAGTGTTAAACAATCCTCAGTATCCTCACTTTCTGCAGCTAATTTTTGGGCAAGATTCTAATATGATAGTCATGGCCATCATATGGTGTATTTGGACCCTCCTCACAAACTTTGCCATAGAGAAACTATACTTGACCAGCTGCCATAAATACACCTAGTAAACTCAGTGATGTTTTATACTACCCAAGTTTGTGAGATATAACGTGATCACCTGTCAGTATTGGTCAGGTTCTGAAACCATATAAACACACAGTAGTCCAAGCTGGCAAACAGTAGTAAATATATCATTGACACTTAAAATTGTGTACAATAATGTGCATATATAGTTGAAATAAGTATTTTTTGCTGCAATTGGTCTAGATATTATCGCTGTGATAAATTTACTAGTTGCCAATGACCACCTGAACACAAACCACTGTAGTTTTGGAGCTGTGACAGGTCTCTGAGTTTATGAGGACTGTCCAAACGCAGCGTTAGTGCGTGTACATCAGTCTGTGTAACAGTGTGGGTGGAGCTTGTGAGGCTTAGGAACAGTTAATATGGAGCATTTGACTGGATTTTAAACACCAGCTGGAGGAAAAGAAAGCCTCAAACTTCTGACCCTGTGCAGATTGATTAGCTGCAGTGTAATTGTCTTGACTTCCTGTGTGGACAGAACTGGGCTCATGAAGGGCAGCAGTGTTCACTGCAGAGCTAGCAAAGCTTCCTTTCTGTCTCTCTCCCTCTCTCACACACTTTCCATCTCTTTTTCATTCTTTTTCTCTCTCCCCTTTTTACTCGTTCTCTTTATTTTCCTTCTCTCTTTCTCTCTTCTTTTCTCCCCCATCTCTCTCCTTTTCTCTATTTCATTCTCCCTCTTTCACCCTATCCTGATCTTTTTCCCTCTCTTGATCTCACCCTTTCTGTCTTTCCTTCCTTCTCTTTCCATCTGTCTTCTCCTTTGCACTCTCTCTCTCTCTCTCTCTCTCTCTCTTTCTCTCTCTCTCTGTCTCTGTCTCTTCTCTCTCTAACCCACCCCCATCTGTACCCTCTGTAGTTGAGAGTGGGGGAGATTTTCCAGGGACAAAAGAATGAATATGTAATGAAGAATGAGGGAAATGGGTGGGAGTCAATGCTGTGTGTGTGTGTGTGTGTGTGTGTGTGTGTGTGTGTGTGTTTGACAGAGATTTCTGCTTTCTTTAAGATGTTTGATCAGAACAGGAGTTGGGATAAGAATCTCTCTCTCTCTCTCTCTCTCTCTCTCTTTTCTCTCTCTCTCTCTCTCTCTCTCTCTCTCTCTCTCTTTCTCTTTCCCTTTCTGTCTGCACACTCTTGTCTCTCTCCCCCCCTCTCTTCACACTCTTGTCTATCTCTCCACTCAATCTCTCTCTCTTTCGCTTTCTCTTTCTCCTCTCTCCCTCCCTCCCTCCCCTCTCTCTCTCTCTCTCTCTCTCTCTCTCTCTCTCTCTCTAGCAGATTTACTCATTGTTACATTTGGGGAGTCTTTTGGGAACATTGCACTTCAACTCCACCCACTCTCTGTTTCTCTCTCTCTCTCTCTCTCTCTCTCTCTCTGTCTCTGTCTCTCTCCCACAGCTTTCTAGTTGTGGTGGTCTACAAGTGCTTGTACGGTTGTTAGGAATCTCATTTTCTCTATAGGTTTTCTCTATAGGTTTTTCAGGAACTACTGTTGTTTTCACTTTTCTTTTGATATTTCCCTCTTTTATGCAGGTGGATTATCTTATATCTAATCACCACAGAAATATCTCATGAAAAATCATTTTAAAATCAACATTTTCTTAATGGTCACTTTTTGACTGGACATTAAATAAAGGATGAATGGTCTCTGACTTTGGTACAATACTGTACTTGTAAGTGTATCCTTGTATAACTTGTATTCCCATTTTTGTTGTTTTTCTTTTTTTGCTTAATTTAAATTTACCTTTTGCATTGTGTTAAAAGTTCATGATGAATGGATTGACAGAAATAGTCTAAAATTATTTGGCAAAAATCTTGTTCTATTGACTTCCATGACAAGTTTTTTCCTTCTTTCCTTCTTTAATTTTCGACAAGGCTTTTTGTTCCGACAGCGACGATATATATCTGTCTCTCTCTTTCTCTTCCTCTTCCTCCATTTCTCTCTCTCTCTCTCTCTCACACACACACACACACACACACACACACACACACACACACACACACTCTCTCTCTCTCTCTCTCTCCCCCCCCGTGTCCGGGAGCAGATGGTATGCTCCGTGTTAAACTGAGTGAGTGTGTGTTGTGTCTCTGTGCTCTCGGGTCTCTCCTGGAGGAGCTGCTGGAGAGCGAGCGAGCAAGCGGGAACAACTCTCACACACTCTTTCATCGCTGCTGTCGCATTCTTTCACACACACACGCACACACACACCCACACCATACACTCACACATACACTCTTTATCTCTCCTGCACACACACACACACACACACACACACACACACACACACATCTACACTCTTTCTCACAAAGAGTAACACATACTCACACAGCTGGATTGGTTCTCTGTAGATTGGAATAGAGGGGAAAGGAAAGAAAGGAAGCTTTCTGTTTGGATTCTGTGCTCTGTCTGCGCTGCGCGGTGGTGTATGTGCACTTCATCAGTGGAAGAGGAGCGGGGGAGTTTTTGCAGCGGCTGCTTTCCCCCCAGTGTGTGTGACACCATGCTGCTGTGTGTGCGCTGGCCCCGCAGGGTAAAATCCTGAAGATGATGGAGGACAATAAGCAGCTGGCCCAGCGGATCGATGGAGCCATCCAGTCGGCCAGCCAGGAAGTGACCAACCTGCGGTCCGAGCTTTCTGCCACTAGCCGCAGACTGGCCGAGCTGGGGGCCAGCAGTGTGGAGAACAACCAGCACAACCACCACACACACGCGCACGGTAAGAAACAGCTCAAACTCCCATTGCTGAGGTTTTATACGCTCTACAAAACGTTGTGTTCATTATGTAACAACACACTTGTTGTTGTGTTAGCACTATTTAACCCCTTAAACTTAGTGTTTGGTGACTATAAACCTAGCGTTACTGCTATAAACTACTGTGACAATGTAACAACCATGTACAGAAATGTAACAAAGTAGTGCAGTGCATTACTCTTTAAAGTCTTGTAATCACATTAGAAGAATTTAATGACATGCGTTACTCATACGTTTTACTTTTTTCAGGAAGGTAAAATAATCCCACCGCACTCAGTGATTAGCAGTTTGTAATGGATTACTTTTTTGAGTAACTACTATGAAACAGATATTATTAGTCTTGAGACTTTCATTCATTCACTACTATAAGCAATTTAAGTACTATGAAACGTGTTATGTAGTTACAAGAGTAATAAACTGTCACTTCAGTTCATACTGCTGTATTGTGATAAATATTGGCACATTTATGTTGCCTAAACTTGGCTGGCAAAGTTAGGAGTATTAAAGAAAAATACAATACAACCATTTTAGAGTTAGATGTGGGCTTTAAGGGTTTATGGGTTTTATTAAATAAACAGTTTTTTTGTTATTACTATTTTAACCCATTTTCTGTCCGGGCCACAAGAACACAGCTGAACACGCTGCCAGTGTGAAATAAGATTGGGTTAACCCATAAAACCCCATGCTTACTACCACTACGTGGACTATAATACAGTCTAGCTGTGTATAAACTAGATGTGTAATAAAAGTTTAAGGGGTTAAAAGTAACACAAAAGCTGTTGCCTTTAGCATGTGAGTTTAAAGACTGCATTTGCATCATTCCAACTTGAATTGATTTTGTTGTTCTGTATGGCGAGTGTGCAGTTTTAACAGTCTGTATGGCTAAGCAGTTTTATTTGTTTATTTCTTTGAGTTTTTCTTTGCAATAAGTTTTAATGTGCTCTAGGCTTGGAGGAGTTTAGCGCTGGTGCTGTTTCTGAGGTAACAGTTTGGTGAAGTGTGGAATAAAGAATGGCTGAGAAAGAGAGAGAGTGAGAGAGAGAGAGAGAAAGAGAGAGAGAGAGAGAGAGAGAGAGAGGCGAGGGGTGAGCTTTTGTTTAGAGTGAAAGAGAAGTGAAGGGAGGGAGCCGGTGCTGTTTCTTTTTGCCTTGTCCCGTTTCCTGGGTAGCCAGTGGGATGGCTATTGTATGCAGCAGCGAGAGAGAGAGAGAGAGACAGACAGAGACTGTTCAGTTTTAAAAGAAGACAGAAAATGTTAAAAATGCTATAAGATTTTTATTTCTTATTGTATTTATCTTTAATGAACTTTACAAACTTAGCTTCGTCCTCTTGTTTGCTACACTCAGGCACTTTGAGAGTCATCCCTGACAGTTCTTGTTGAAGAATGAAGCCTGTGTGGGAGCTACTAAGTATCGACAACTAAGAAACAAGATCTGATTAGCCAATTAGACTTGTACTTTGATAGTTACATAAAATTAACAAATAGGACAATTCAATTTGCAATTATTATTCAATGCAATTATTTATATGGCTATTAAATATCAGCTGAAACTTCATGATTATGACAGGGTTTCATTATTGCAGTGTGAATGTATTGAGAATTTAAATCTTCTGCATGGTCATGCTAGCTGACCAGCATATCAGCCACCAAAACTCAACATTTGATAGTTTTGGTGATGATCAGTACGTCATCTTTCATTACTGGTGACCAGCATACCATCGTCCAGCTAGCAAGCAAAGCAACTTGTCACCACTTATAATAGAACCATAAACATATAACAGACAAGCAACATGGGCAACATGATTCTGATCTCAGTGATGGTAGCTAATTCTTCAGTTTACTGCAATTTGCTTTAAGTACTCAGTGATGAGGCCACAAACAAAATAAAGACACCAAAATAGACCAGGATAGCTAACTTCCTAAAGTTAGCAGTGTATTTAGCAAACAGGCTCAGCTAGCAGATCCTCTGTATTTCTTACTAGCACTGGTAAGGAAATGAAGACATGTACTGGCAGGTGGAAATGGAAGATGGCAGATGTTAGTGGTCAGACTTTGTGCTGGAGTGTGTGTCGGAGTGTGTGCCTCCACTGCCTCAGGTTATGTGTGTTCGTTTGCTGTTAGCTGTTAGCTAAACTTCCTGTAGGGCAGCTCCAAGATCCTCCATATGGCTGAAGCAGAGGAGGATCAGTTGATGCAGTGTGTGTGAGTCAGGGTGTGGTGTGAGCTGAGGTGTGTGTCTCAGGGCCAGACAGCATGGGTGTGTGAGCTGTGTGTTTGATCAGGTGGAGAAATAGTGGCACCTCTTAAATGAGTGGGTTCTGTGTGAAGAGTGTGAGTGTTTCTCTTCCCGATTCTTTCATTCACAATCTTCAGTATGTGATAAATCTGCATGTGTTTCTCTCTTTCTTCCTTTTGCTGTTTTTTATTTTTATCTTTCCGTCAAACTCAGATATACAGAGATTTTCCTGATGACTCGCGAAAAATTAATATTCATGTCTCTGTTTTTGTAATATTTTGAAGGTCTAAGCAGTTCAAATCGAACTGCTCCCTCTTGATTTTGTGCTACATCTGTTTTGGGTTGAGTATTGTTTGGGTCTCGTCCCACCCCAACACTAATGGATAGCCAATCAGCACTGGCTTGTCACACAGCTCTACAGATTTGCAGGTTGTAATTGAGATTTTGGGGGGCTGTAGGCTTCTGTGAGCTCTTTGAACCCCGTCTTTGTATCTCTTAATACAGATATATTTATGTGCCTGTTCACCAGGGATGTTTAGTCAGTTCATGTGACTTGTGAGCTTGAGCAAGTTTCAAGTCCAACTGAGATGCAAGTCCGATTTGAGTCTTGAGATTCTGGGGTGCAAGTCCAGGCTGAGTTTCGAGTCTATGGGTTGCAAGTTCGTTTTGAGCCTCGAGTTTCTGGGGTGTGAGTCTAGATTAAGTCTCAAGTTTTTGGGTTGCAAATCCAAGTAGTCTTGAGTCTCTGGGATGCAAGTCCAAGCTGAGTCTTGAGTTTCTGAGTGCAACTTGAGTCCCCATTTCACAGAAATTTTTTTTTATAGACATATAAATCAGCCTTGTGTCAGGTTGAACTATTCTCTGTTCATTCACTGCAGAACTATAAAGCTGTTCTATGGAGTGAATATTTCTAGAGCTTGTTAAAGGGTAGTCTCAGGCCAGACATGATCCTGTAACAAGAACACACAACTGGGGACAACTTTGGTTTGCCCGGACTGCTTTGGAATCTGTCAAAAACAAGTGTACCCCCCCCTGTCTAAAACCCACCCCTAAATTCCTGTACTACTTGCTCTTTTAATGTCCAGACTACAATTGATGACACAAGCAAAACAAGCCAGCTAGTGAAAAGCTATCGTTAGAATTGTTTTTCTCTTATTTCTTACCACATGTACTGGGTTTTACACACACACACACAACACACATCTACATGCTTAATTGTTTTCTTTTTGGTGGTATTAAGTATTAAGAATATGTATTCAGAATACAGAAAATAAGGATCTGTATTCAGTTCAAGTTACACTTTGTAAAGCAAGATTCAGAGTGATGTATTACAAAACTATTTTAAAATCGTGTATGCATTTTGTGGCAAATAATATACATGTTATTAATTGAAAATCACACAGCTAGTCAAATTTTTGCAGTATTTTATTATTGGGATATGGCAAATTATTTGCTTAGTTCATAAAATGACAGTGGGATTATGGGAGCAGCAGTGGACTGAAGCAAAATATTCAGAATATTGTAACAATACTGGGTCCATGGGTAAATGTTTGTTGGCTTGTTACCCGTCGGACAATGTTGACGAGTGCACCATCACCCTCTGCTTTGAGCTCTGCCTTTACAATGTGTTGGATTGCTTTCAAAATTTCACTCTCAGTTTGTTCCCACCCTAATAAGCCTACGTTCTCACCCACATTTAGCCCAAATTTTGTCAAGGTTGTTCCCAGACATTCTTGTTACGAGATCATGTCCAGCCCCAAGATTAGTTAACGGGACCCTGAATAATGGAAAACTAAACCACACTGCACTGCCCACACACACAAGACCTGGATGGAGGGCAAATGTGTGTGTATGTGTGTGTGTGTGTGTGTATGTGATTGAAAGAGAAATGGCGCAGTAATGCACTTTGTTTATATTTTACTGTACACACTCAAGCGTACACACTGAGCTAGCCACACTCACTCTCACACACACACACACACACACATACTTGACTGTATTATACTGAACTCACTCACCTGACTGAGAGAGAGAGACATGCACTGTGAGCAGAGAGAGAGGAAGCGGAAGAACTGAGCTGGAATGTGAACTGGACACCCTCCAAACACCACAAATACACACATTAATGAGGTACATGGGAGAGAATGGAATGGATAGATAAATAGAAAGAGAGATAGAGAGAGGGAGAGAAATAGATTATAACATGCATGCCAATGAAGCACTGTTGAAATAGAGAGAAGAGAATAAAAATAGCAAGAATGGAAAGTGAGAGAAATAAAGATTGAGAATGAAAGAGAGAAAAAAAAATAAGGAAAAGAGGGATACAAAGAAAGAGTGGGAGAGAGAGACAGAGAGTAAGAGGGGGAAGAGTACGAGATATAAACAGAGTGAGAGAAAGAAGTGAGAGAAAGAGGGAGAGAGAAATTAAATAGAAATAAAGACATCATCTTGCCGCTCTAATTATAAGAGTGAATAACATCACACAACAATAAACTCATAGTAAACAACTTTATCAGTAAAGGCTCATAATAAACAGCTTTATCAGTTACATTTCTGACGGTGATGTAATTGGAGGGTGTTCCCTCAGGTTTACAATGTTTTTCGTCACTTTAACAAGCTGGCAACATGATTGGTGTAAACTCTGAATCATGTTTAATTCCCAAGCAACAAGAATCTGCTTTGTGTAATAGGCCTCTATGAGCGCTCCCATAAATAAAACACTGCGTGT